TATTTTGTAAGAGCTCTTGTGGAAGGCTGTCCTGAGGCCTACAGGCTGCATGTTGGTTACGAGCCAGCACTCTGGGATCAGAAGGAGCAGGGTTGAAATCCTGGCCCTGTTACTCCCTAGCTGGGTGACTTTGTTGAGAAAAGAGCCTCTCGAGCCTCAGTTTCCACATGTGTAAAATGAGGACTTTTTGGGGACAATGTGCAAATTAAATAAGGTAATGAATTAAAAGGGCCTTGTATGATGATTTGTAGTAGACGTTTAATAAGTATTGGTTTTAGGCTGGGCACAGTGGCTCACGCCTGTAATCCCAGCACTTTGGCTGAGGCAGGTGGATCATTACCTGAGGTCAGGCGTTCGAGACCAGCCTGGCCAACCCGGTGAAACCCTGTCTCTACTAAAAATACAAAAATTAGCCAGGCGTGGTGACACGTGCCTGTAGTCCCAGCTACTTGATAGGCTGAGGAAGAATTGCTTGAACCCAGGAAGCGGAAGTTGCAGCAAGCCGAGATTGCGCCACTGTACTCCAGCCTGGGTGACAGACTGAGACTTCTTCTCAAGAAAAAAAAAAAGTATTGGTTTTAAAATTATTATTAATACTACAGCACTTATTTCAAGACAAAATTATTTGATAACTTCTTGGGAGTACAGGACAACAGAAGCCCCGGAACAGGGTTCAGATGCTTTGTTAGAGCTGCTTTAATGCTGAGAGATCCCATCATCCTAGGACCTAAGTCATTTTTGAACTAATCTTTGAAAGAGAAATGAACAGTGCATTTATATCCACAATAATTGCAAGGGAAAGTCATCTTATTTTCTACTGTGTTTTCAAGTAAAGATAGATAGAATCTGAACTTCAGAAAAATGTCATCTTGTCAACTGGAAACAATGTTTCCAGTTCTTAGTGCAGCCCCCTCACTGGGATAGTGGAACGGTTTCCTGCGGCTTGGCAGGGGCTCACAGATGCTTCCAGCTGTTTCCCCTGGGCATCATTTCAGAGAGTAGCAGAACTGGAGGCCATTCATCACCATGATCATCCAATGAGAGACACAGTTAGATAAAAGTTGACTTTGCCTACTAGGTGGTGTCAGCATTGAAGAAACAAATGGGTAAAGCTAGGTTCAGAATCCCCTGTCCTGTGTCTGTGTCGCCAAAGGAGGTGTTAAGGTTCCTCCAAGAGGCTGCTGCTGCTTTGCCCTTCCGAGGTGGAGAAGAGCCAGACCAGGCTGGGGGCTCCTGGCCCTGCCCTGGCATGACCCCAGGCCTGCCTGAGCCTGGTTTATATCACAGAAACAGCCCTTTGCTAGCCTCTGATTTTATGCTAGTTGTCCTGCAACCCATTCTTCGGACAGCAGAAGACAGTAATATCCTAACTCCTTACCTCGTCCTTGGACCAGTAGTATCCTAACTCCTCCAGTCCTGGGGCTTGGATGACCTGGACTTCCACTCCCAATCTGTTTTGTTTGTTTGTTTGTTTGTTTAGACAGAGCCTTTGTTTTCTGAGACGGAGTCTCGTTCTTGTCACCCACGCTAGAGTGCAGTGGCACGATCTCAGCTTACTGCAACCTCCGCCTCCCGGGTTCAAGCAATTTTCCTGCCTCAGCCTCCCGAGTAGCTGGGGTTACAGGTGCGCACCACCACACTGGGCTAATTTTCGTATTTTTAGTAGAGATGGGGTTTCACCATGTTAGCCCGGCTGGTCTTGAACTCCTGATCTCAAGTGATCCACCCACCTCGGCCTCTCAAAATGGTGGGTTTACAAGTGTGAGCCACTGCACCCAGCCAGGACAATCTGTTTCAACAGGCCCCGGGGCAAGTCTCCCCACTAAAGTGTGAGAACCCTGGAAAGTCATCACCCCCTGGATTTCAGGGTGATGGGTCCAAAAACTCACCTCTACTTTTTCCAAAGATTGGAGAGACTAAAACAGGATCTGGGGGCCAGAAGTTCTCTAGCATATGACCATACTCTGTTTAAAATCCACGATTGCTGTCACTCACTCAAGGCCAGGCAGCTAGACAGAGGCAGAGCAGGCTAAGACCAGGGGCTTCTAGATCTTCCTGAAACCCCCGCGGCTCCTTCTACTGCACCTTCAGGGCTCCACCCCATCCCCTGGCAATAGTACCTTTCCGACGAGTCCTGCAGAGTTGGGGAAGGGAGAAAGGATATACAATCCACTAAGTGGTGTGATTCAGCACCAAAGCACTTTGTAGGGGTTTCAGTCTGTTTTCACTGAGCATCTCCGCTGATCTAGGAGTTGCTGGTGCAGCCAGCAAGGCAGGCACGGCCCTTCTCTTTAGAAGCTTATATTCTGGTAGAGAAAACAGATCATACAAATGTGAACAGGGCATTTCAGAAGGTGACCTGTGCTGTAGAGGTAACAAAGTAAGGTGATAGGGACATGATGCTTTCTTGAAACCACGTGGTCAGGGAAAGCCTCTAAACGTGACATGCAAGCGGAGACCTGAACTAAGGGAAGGAACGTCATGTGGCAGAGGCCCTCAAGTTCAAAGCTACTGAAGTGAGAGGGAACAGAGAGTATCCTAGGAGCAGAAAGAAGTTCATCAGGGTTGGGGGAATGAGGACATGGGGACTGCAATTAATATCTGTGAAATAAGTCTAACAAGCTTTTTATGCCTTTTCCTTGTTATACATTTCACTTATCTGGTTAAACCTGACATTATGGCAATTTCTAACCTTCCCAGTATTTACATTCTTATGTTGACATATTAAAAATGGAATGAGAACGGGCTTATTGAAAATAATTGCAGTTTCAAAATAAACCATCCACTTTGAAGGTTATTCACGCTGCAAGAGCTTATTCATTCTGTAGTTCCTGAGCTAATACCTTTAAAAAAGAGGCCAAATGGGCCCTCAAGACCTCCCTTGGTTTCCTTATAAGCCAAAAGCAAGAAACAAACAAACAAAAAACAAGACATATAAAAGCAAAATATATTATACTGATACCTACACCTTGTCATTAAATATCAAAAAAACCTCAAATACAACTTTACTACACTATGCATAACTGTGCCTTTTGCCAACTTGCTGATATATTTACTCTCTTTTCTTAATAAAATTTAGAACAGCAATGCCTTGTTTGCTCAGCACTGCTAAGCATTAGTTCTTCCCTACAAGCAAACTTTTCAGATAACTCAAGCTCCCTGAGAATGCCATTTTTTTCTGAACAACTTCCCCTCTGAATTATACACACCTTAATTTGTATCAAACAAACACAATCCTTAATTGTATGTAATGAACACAATCTAAATCAGCCTAGATCTCAGGCTCTTACTGCACACCACACATCACACTGACCTGTAACACAGTTTATCAGCAATCACAGGCACGGCATCATTGACCTCAGGTATATTTTTATTGCTCTCTTAACTCCTTTTGCTTCTACTTCTCCTTGCTGTTAAGCTGTACTTACAATTTACTTTTACTATACACACTTTCCTGAGATAAAGGGCAAGAAATGTCTATTTGATAGAGTATACGGACAAATAGAACTTTGCCATTTATGAGCAAGTTTAATGTTTAGTTCAAGCAGCCAAGGGTGCTGGGAGTCTGACCTCTGAAAAAGTGAGGTGGAGTAATCTTTATCTTTTTCCATATAAATAATAAATAATGGGTATCCAGAGAGAATTTTCAGAAGAATGTGTTTTAGCAAGATAGGTCTAACTCCTTCCTCCTTTCATGTAAAGATCTCTAAACAGTCCCTCTCAGATTTCCTAATGTACTAACGTGGGGCTAAACTTCATGAACAGAACCTCCAGGTTCAGTGGCTTAGAAACAATGGCATCTCAAGTTTTTCTCTTATGTATAGTCAAGCGGAATTTTCCAAGCTGACCAGCAACTCTGCTCCACAGCGGCATTCAGGGATCCAGGTTCCTTCTCTCTCAAGGCTCTGCCATGATGGGCACCTACTGGGACAAGGTCACTACCTTCTCTGGGTTCCACCTGTGGGAAGGGGACAGAGGAGGTGAGGCGGACTCACCCACGGTCTTAAGGGTCCTGGCCCAATAACGGCATACACCCTTCAATTTACATCCCCTGGGGAGAATGAGTCAGCTGGCCAACAGGTAACGGCAAGAGGGGCTGAAAAATGCAGTCCCCAGCAAGTAGCATGTGCCCAGCTACAACTCTACACAATGGAACAGGAGAACGGATTTTGCTGGGTAACTAGCAGTCTTCAGGAGGAAAGTATTTTCTTATTTCTATTTTATAGAAGCACTGTAAAATTGCTATACAATTATCTTATTTCAAGTCAATCCAATAAGAAAAAAATCAGACTTACATAAACATTTTAAAGAACTATATTTTAGAGCTGAAATAAGCCTAAGAAATCATTTGGTCAGTGAACACCCTGTGACCAGCAGACATTATTTCATTGACTTGTTCCTATCAGTCTTCCACAGAAGAATAGGGACTTACCTTGTTCATTGCTGATCCCACCACTTAGAACAGTTTCTGACACATAGGAAGTGATTAACAAATCTTTGTTGATTAAAAATAGTTGAAATGAGAATATATAACAATGTAGAGATATTATTTTGTAAATTTATCTCCTCCTCTGCTGAGTTACCAGGAGTGGCAGGATATATTTTGATGACCCAATTATAGCAAGTTTCTTTCACTTTATTTAAAATGAATATAAAGTCTAAATACTGGCCAAAGTCCACAAGAAAATCTGGACAAGTGTATCAATGACACTTGGTCTTTACACTTATTCTAAAGGAAAACCTAGTAAGGGTCTGGCCTAGGCTGTGCCTTCATTAGATTTTTTTAAAACCAAAGTACTGTCTTGAACTTGACTCCCAGATGTGAAAAATATTTTGTGCGACATTCAAACCACTTGTAAAATGTAAATACCTTCATTTGCTGAGAAATATTAAACGATCTATAATCAAGGCCCAGCCTATTTTTTCCAAAGACAAAATTAAACATTTTGCCACCATTAAGACCAAAACAATAATTCAAATTAAGATAGCTCTACCACTTGTGAATTACAAATAAATTCTTATTATACAGTGGGAAATTCACTCTTCCAAATACAATAGTAAATATTAAAAGAAATTCAGTGACCTTTTTAAAAAAGATTACAAAATTGAATTTATTGAGTTTCACACAAGATGCACTTATAAAATTAGTATTGAATGCCATTATGACAGAAGAAATGAACATAATCCCGAACTCCCAACAGCATCTGTAAAGGAATGGAAATCTTCTGAAAATGACAGCACAGTAACAGAAAAATTCAAGCGGAACTGAAGATCTATCTAAACCATGTTCCTGCTCTGAAATCAGGGTTGTGTTTGGCAAAGCTTTCCCCAAACTATTCCATTCACCGTGGCATTGTTCCTTTTGTTGGTAAAGGGAGATGGAAAAAAAATAATAATTCTAAAATGGGGCTCCACTAAAACACACACAAAGCAATTAAAAGCTTTTTCATTTTTAACTTAAAATACTTCCTGGTTTCACAAAGGCATGTCCATACACTTTCCTCAACATTAATCTTCAGATTTCTTTAGTTAATACAAAACATTAAAATTCACTTACTTTTTTTGTATTTCAAATGAACAGGTCGGAATATTAAAGCTTGCTTTATATTTCATCCAAGAAATGGAAAAATCACCTAAAAATTGCCTTCTGCATATATACATGCCTGAAACATTTGCATGAGAGCTAAACTTCAAAATCAAAACATCAAAGGAAATAACAGTTAACAGGACCACCTTGTGGACAGTTCTGAAACCAGAAGTTGTAGAAGTTTTACAGAAATGCAAACGGGTTTATCAAGATAAAATGGGGTGGGAAATAACTTGACCTACGATGTAGGCCACAAACTAGTAATTAAGTGGAAACAGAATGTTATCTCAAACAAAACCAAAAGCACTTTTTGGTTGCTGTTCCCAACAGCCATACACAGATGCCTCCCCACACTGACAGCCACCCATACGCCTCGAACACCCATTTACTTTCACACAAAATCCTCTCCTGACTGGGGCCTGCCCCACCCCCAGCACAGGCCCACCCTGACAGTCACATCCCCACAGACACACAGCCACAGAACACACACCCTGCCCCAGCACAGGCCCACCCTGGCTGTTACATCCCCACAGACACACACCCACAGAACACACACCCTGCCCCAGCACAGGCACACCCGCTGTCCACCTAAACAGAAGGACTGATGCATTTGATAAGCCCAAGCAAGATGCTGCTGCCTAACACACCTGGAGCATTTACTTACAGTTAAAATTGACAGTTTTGAATTTTGTACACTGACAATTTTTCAGCCTGTTCAACACCAAATCCTTTTAGCTGTAATAATTTATGAAGCAATTAGTTTTAAAGCAAAACCAGTGAAGTATACCTTAAAGTTAACACTGCTCTGCTTCCTTGGTGTAAAAAGTGCCCTTTTGTAAGGGCATTTATATTTTATCCACCGCAATTAAATGACATACAGCTCACATTTTGCTTTAAAGAGTAAACTGAAAAATTATGAAGGGTTTTTCCCAGTAATGCATAGCCTTCATTAATTTTTAAAATAAATAAACTGGTTTAGCGTTTTTTGTTTTTGTTTACCCTACAAAATGCTACTATTCATTATGTCTTATTTAAGGTAGCCTTTTATTCTGATTAATCAAGATACATCTTTAAGGGTTATTCTGGTGGTAAGAATATTTATGTTGACTTATGTTTAATTTTTTTTAATGCTTTGGCAGATGTAGTAACATTTGAAAACTGTTTGTGAAAATAGTATGAGACTGGTAAGGTAAAGTCATGGTAAAAGCTTCACAGTTGTCCAGGTATTTCCTTACACTGAAGAGGCCTTGAGGCAAATTCAACATTCTGGAAGCCCAGATTGACAAAGCAAAACAGATTTTGATGTTGCCTTGGTTGGGTCCTGGAAGTGACGCTGCTGCTTGGCCAGGCAGGAGAAGTTTTATAATCCATCAAGCTTCCCAGAGAGTCAAGGCCGAGGTCGCTCCTGTCTTGTGATCTGACCCTCAGCCAGGCCACATTACTGGAAGAAAGATACTAAGATCTGCTTGCCAATAATAATTTAAGTTTTTAAATAAATATTTAAGTGCCATGTTTAGCATCTGTCTGTCCTGGCAACACAGCATTTGCTGCCCCAGGACCCAGCTTCGTCAGCACATGGAGCCACATATTCAGTCAATTCGGTTTCCGCAAATTGTGAACCTGTCTATCTCTAACAAATCTTTCTTTGAGGATCTGTGTTTTAATTCAGAATTGTCCTGCGTTATGTCCTTCTCGTCACCATCTGGAGTTGTCAAAAACTGATCAGAGTTGCTTGTCACAAGTAATGGTATGATATTTTCCTTTTGATGAACAGGCTGATTGGTGACAGAGGCAGACAGGTTTTCTTCTGTGGAAAGGCCTGTGATAAAATAGGTCCATTAAATTAGAGAAAGATTTTCCCCAATGTGCAATAAATAAAAACTTACCAATATAGTGGTGCTGAAAAAAGTGCCCATCATCCATGCTTTTAGATAAAGCAAATGATAACCAAATAGCATGTTGTATAAGAGCCATCATTTACAATAAAACTTAGAGGCCAATCATCTGTTTGTTCAATTTTATGGAAGGGTATATTACGTTGCTCGTATCACACAAACAATGCCATCACGCAACTGTAGAAAGATCACAACTCCTACAATACGGCTCCTCTCTATATAATCAAGACCTAACATGACTGTTGCCAGTCCTGAAAAATTAACATTTGCTCCAATACAGAACATCAGGGAGTGGGCCAAGAAGACTTTACCACATTCTAACTGTCATCTGCAGTCACTTCAGCTACAGTTGGTTTAGCATCATCATCTCTGGGAAGTACAAACCAGAGGTAAAAACAAACAAATAAACAAAACCCCCAGTGTTTATTTTAGGCCACAGAGATTCTGAAGCCTGGCTTTGGGGACAGCTGGGCTGGGGCCCGGAGCGACTCATCTGAATCATACATTCAATCCACGTAAGAACAGCTTCTTTGAGGCAAAAAAGACATACCATCAGCTGTACACATTTAAAATGTATAATCTGATGAGTTCTGACATGTGCATACACCTGGTCACACCACTGCCATGATGGAGGTAATGACACATCCAGCTCTCTTGCACTAATTCCTCTCTCCTGCCCTCATCCCCAGGACTGCTGTCTTTTGTCTCCTTACAACGTGATGAATCTGATGCAGCCTTGAGAGATGGCCCCCTCCCGCTCTTCAGCTTGACTTCAACACCCTCCTGAATGGTCTCTGGTCTGTGTTCTCCTGACCTCCAAGACATTCTGTGCAAACACTCAGACCCTTGTCCTGAATGTACTTCTCATAACATGACCCCTGAGTCAATAGCCCTGCCCTGTAGTACGTGCTTAAAGCTTTTATCCCCATTAGACTGGATCCTCCTTGAAAGCAAGACTGATGTTTACTAACTTCTTTTTATATTTTTTGTGGAGATGTGACTCACTAGGTTGCCCAGGCTGGTCTCGAACTCCTGGGCTCAAGCACTGCTTCTGCCTTAGCCTCCCAAAGTGCTGGGATTATTAAAGGCGTGTGCCACCATGCCTGGCCTAACTTCTTAACTAATATGCATAACAAGAGAACACATACAGGCCTCACTATGAATTACCTAGTTAGCTGAAAAAAATACAATCCTTATTACTAACAGTGTTCTTATAATGCAAACAATTATTTCTCAGTGATTATACACATTGTTATTTTACTTTATTTTTGCTTCCTGTTAAGTACACATGATGAGCACAGCCCCACTTTCAGGTAGGACTCCAGTCCAGCCCAAATCTCCTCTCCTCCCTCTTTCTGAAGCACACTCCACACTTGCCATATTGAGCTGCTAGTTCTCCAGATGCTTTTCCAGGCCTCCATGAGCTAACTCATGCTGGCCCTTCTGGAGTGCCCTTTCCACCAGCCTGCCCTAGGCCAGTTTCATCCTTCAAGCTTTTAGTTTAGAAGAACCCTCTCCTGTCCCTCCAAACCCTCTGCTCACCTATTTGGACCCCTGTAATTACATGAGGCCTTGAAGGACATCCTTTATTTATCTTTCTATCTTCAGCATCTCCTCTAATACCTGGCACACAGTTGTCCCACACATTTAAAAATATATCATTTAAACTAAAAGTCATATGAACAAACACCTTTGTGAACAGGGAACTGCCACCTAACAACAAAAATTAAGTCAGTGTCCCAGTTCTTCCTCCAAATCTTCCGGCCCAGAAACCTTGGAATCATCCTGAACTCTCTTATTCTTCTCACACTGCGTAACTTCCTCATCAGCAAATACTTCACACAAACCTCCCAGGTCTATCCAGAACCTGGCCAGCTCTCCCTGCTCACACTGCCTACCCTGCTCCTGGCCAGGTAGCTGCCTCTCTGGTCCCACCCCTCTGGAGTTTATTTTCCACAAAGCTTGAGAATGATCCTTTTAAAATGTCAGCTGCACCATGCCACTGCTCCGCTCAAAGCCCCACAACAGCCCCCTTCCACCTGGAGTCAAAGCCAAGGTCCTCATAACAGCCTGCAGCCCTCCATGGCCCCCAAAACCCCCTCTCCAGTCCTTTTCCCTGGGAATGGGCCACTGCAGCCACCTTGCTTTTAATGTCCTTTGATGCACCAAGCCTCTTCCTGCTGGGCCTCTGACTGGGAGCTGCTCCTGGAAGGCTGGATGTGCCGTCCTCAGGCTCCAGGACTCTGTGCAGTGCCATCTCCTCACACTTGGGGGAGCATCCAACTCCCTGTTGTACTTCCCTTTCCCCGTCCTGCTTTTGTTTTCTCCGCAGTTCCCCGTCACTTGACATAGTGCATACTTATTTCTCTCTACCCCTCTTCCCGACAATCTAGAACAAGCTCCACGGGAGCAGAGAATTGCCTTTCCACCCCACTGCTGTATCCACTGGAGCTGACGAGTCACAGGTGCTCAATATTGAACAGCGAATGAGTAAATGGAAAAACTCAGAACACTGGGCCAGGTATATACGCGATGGGATCTAAAACACAACCATTAAAAGACCAAAAAACCTAGGCAAAGTGAAACCAGTCTTTAAAGCGTTGCTTAACATTGATCGAACTGTGATTTAACTATTTGAAAATGATCCAGGGAAGTGAAGAAAGGGACCAAACCTACCTTGAGAGGGTTTACATTTGTTCTGTGATTTACTGGACGGCTTGCCTGGAGTGCAGGCTGGGGGAGGATTCGACAGCTTCTCTTCCATTTTGGCTTCTTTCACATACTGGCACGATTTCCCCAACAGCACAATGCTATTAAGTACTTTCAGGGATACCAACCTAAAACAGAAACAAAACAAACCACCTCCGTTGGAATTCATCTAAATCCCTGTGAATGCTCATGGCTAAGGGGAAGGCAGGGAGCATGGGATGGGGGCAGGTCAGGGATTTTGAGAAATTTACACAAATCTTGAGTTTTCTGAGGCTTCTTTGCCACAAAGAAAAACTTCGGAATTCCTTATTTTCTTCTTTTTGTTTTTTGAGACAAGAGTCTCACTCTGTCACCCAGGCTGGAGTGCAGTGGCGCGATCTTGGCTCACTGCAACCTCCGCCTCCCGGGTTCAAGCAATTCTTGGCCTCAGTCTCCCGAGTAGCTGGGATTACAGGCATCCACCACCACACCCGGCTATTTTTGTATTTTTAGTAGAGACGGGGGTTTCACCATGTTGGCCATGGTGGTCTCGAACTCCTGACCTCGTGATCCACCTGCCTCAGCCTCCCAAAGTGCTGGGATTACAGATGTGAGCACCACGCCTGGCCTCCTTAGTTCTCTTATAAGAAATTATACAACTTAGAATTTTTTCCTGGTATTAAACATTTTAACATTTATTCTTTTATTATACAACAAATACATTTAGCACATGCAGATGAACAAAAAAATAATAATAAAGTTACACGATTCCACACCCTTATGATTATCACTGTGACATTTAGTATGTTATCTTTCAGTTGCTTTCTCCGAGTACGCCTCCATTTGTACTTTCTTGCTGTATAGAAACAGGGTCTATTTTACAAGGCAGTAGGCGAGGGGAGTCAGGAGACAGAGCATGGATTCTGGGGTGAAGTGTGTCGGTGTGGAGTCCTGAGTCCACTGCTTAGAACCTGTGTGCACCTGGGCAAGCTACTCGACCAGCTAATCTGGAAAGGAGAGCAGTCAGGTAAGGTGCTCAGAGCAGTGCCTGGCACACAGAAATGGCAAGCAATTTTGTTACTCTTGTTGTTATTTATATAACAATGTATCATGAATATTTTTCTGTATCAGTTAATGTTCCTCAGGGACATTATTTTAAATGGCCTTATAACATCACTGTATGGGTTATCAAATAACAAAGCCCCAAACAACTCTTATTTCTGGATATTTAGATTATTTTCAATATTTTGCTTCTACTAAAAAGTTTCTGATTAAGAAAACATGTTAAATCTGTATTTCCTTAGGATACCTAGATACTTATGACTACAGAAATAAAATTTCTGGGTCAAAGAATATGAATATTTTAAGGCATTCAATATAAATCTGGAAAAAATTATGGGAAGAAAAAAGTCTCACATTAACTTCAATGCCAGTTTTATAGCCAGTGAAGAAGCTGGCTTGCTTTTTTTTTTTTCAAGAGACAGTCTTGCATTGTCACCCAGGCTGTGGTGCAGTGGCATGATCATGGCTCACTGCAGCCTTGAACTCCTGGGCTTAAGCAATCTCCCACCTCAGCCTCCTGCACAGCTGGGACCACAGGCATATGCCACCACGCCCAGCTAATTTTCTTTTTTGTAGATCTGGGGTCTTGCTATGTTGCCCAGGCTGGTCTCAAACTCTTGGGCTCAAGCAATCCTCCCACCCCAGCCTCCCAAAGTGCTGGGGCTACAGGCATGAGCCACCATGCCATTTTCTGCTCAGCTCCATTCATGGTCTCCCCTTCCCGGGCCCTCTGCCCCCATGGCTGCCCAAGGACTACTGTAGCTGCCTGGCGCCTGCTGTTCCTCTACCAGGCCTGTGTCCCTGTGCCCTTCTGCTAAGCCTACGCTTTTCCCAGGTGGCTGCACAGCTCCCTTCCTTACTGAAACACCAGCCGACCAGAGAGGCCTGCCCTGGCCACCCTCTCTAAGGTGGCTGCGTCTGCCTCTCCCATTCATCTCCTCACACTATTGTGCTTTTCTTCCTAACGATTCCTACCAACTGTCGGTGGCTGTGTCTGCCTCTCCCATTCATCTCCTCACACTATTGTGCTTTTCTTCCTAACGATCCCTACCAACTGTCAATAGAGTGACTTGCTTTTCTAGTTGTTGTCTATTTGTTGTCTGGAATTTCTGTGACATCAAGGCAGGGAACTTGTCTGGCTTCTTTGTGGCCAAGCCCTAGACCAGCCCAGGCCCAGGCCCTGCTGCTGAGCAGCTGCTCCCTGAGGAGCGCTGAGCAGAGCAGTAATGGCAGAGGCTGGCAAGTCCTCCCACCTTAGCTGGCAAGAGTGAGTCTGGAGGGAAAGACAATAAACTGGGTGTGGTGGGGAAAAACTTCAGCATTTTATTTCAGGAGGCCCAACTGAATTCTGATTTTATTTTTTTAACTGAAGACAGATTCTTGGGTTTGGTGCAGTTAATTGATAAAGAAGGCATGGACAAGGTAGTTTTGAGAAAGTTTCTGAAGGAGAAGAGGATAATTTAGGAATTATCCTGAGATGAGGATTAGAGTAGATGAATAAAGTAGAAAACTAAGCAGATCTGTCTGGCTGTGCTATCCAGGTGCAGAAGTGAAGCAACATGGGGAGGGAGGCGACACTGGAGGCTGGGGGCACAGGTACCCTGAATTCTAAGTAACTCAAGATTAAAGTACATCCCCCTTGGTGAACTATGCACAGGCAACTGTAACTAAACAAAGGTTTTCAGATGTAGCATATACATGCTTCATTTCGTGATTATTATGTAAAAAATACTAGAATATTAGATTGTCAAACAATTATTCCCACTGAGATTACAGCAATACCACTTGGTAAACACAGCACAATGTTAAAAACGTTGAGGTGCGGTGTGAGACTCTACATTAGAAAAGGAAGGTCTTAATGTTATTTAATGTCAAAAAACGAAAAGAGTTACCTCAATATAGTAAACTATTTACATACTCATTCAAACAAAAAATAGGCAATGCTGTACAGTGTGATTAGAACCTCACCCTCCTGTGTGAAACACTGAAATGACCTACATGCAGCTCTGCAGGACACCGGCCTGAGCCAGGCACTGCAGGAGCTGGGAAGCAGGCCCATGACTCAGGATACTTGGTGGAGAGGTAGAAAGTGCAGACAGTAAGTGACTATTCCCATGCTACTTCAACAGAAGCTTCCTGAGCACGTGCCAGGTAGTGTGCTAAGCCCTGGGCAGGAAACAATGTGAAAAACACACTAAAAAAACCATGAAACTGGAACACTAAGCAAATCCACCGCTCAAACTGTGACTGCTATGCTTACCCTCCAACCTTTCTCCTCTGGAGGGATTAAAGTTCGACCCCTCTCAGAACACCCACCCCTCCCTGAGTGAAGCTCCTGATGCACACCACCTAAGCGAGGGTGGAACAGGTTTCCCATTTCATTTTTCAGTAAGTTAATTGAATGCCAGGTCTGGTTACTTTATCATTGTTCACCTCTTGAGAAAAGTAACAATGGCAAAATCATCATTTTATATTGTTATTTTCTTCATACCATTTATTTCTATCTTAATTAGTTGTTAATTTACTGTATGTCTCCCCCAGCTAAAATGTAAGATCATGAGACCAACAAACCTGCAGATGGATTCCACTGGTCACAGAAAACCTACGCTTGTGCATTACATTTGGTTTTATGTGATGCCTGCCTACAGTGTGCTGAACAATTCAATGTGGCAAACATATTGGAGGGTCAAAGATGTTTTTAAATATGAAAACATGTCTGCAATGGCAGGCTTTTATTCATCAAAAAAAAGTGAGTGAAACCTAAATCTTAAGCAAAAAGGGCTTTAAGATTTTGCTAAAAATTAAAATAAAATCTAAAGTACTATTAATACTACTACCAAATAGCAGTGTAGTTAATCTAACCGAGTCACAAATAAGTACACTGGGAGGTATAGCTATTGAAAGGAAGCCCCCGGCATAGATTGGGAGTAGTATGATTGGGATGCTATTAATTTCCATTACATCTTGCATTTATGCTTTACTATATAGCCAAAAACATATTCAAGAATAATCTTACCCAAAATAGAAGAGTATGACACAGGCATAGGACAGGATTCCTTGCACTTTAATTGAGCTTGTTACAACTCTGATGAGCTAGCCAGAAACAAACCAACAAAAACACACAAACAGAACACACAACCACAGAATTATTAGTTAATACTTAAAAAGATTTCTCCATGCTGACTTTAACATTTTAGGCATAAATCTATGGCCTTTGTCTAAAAATCCAAGAAGGCAAATTTGTCGATTTGTATCAAAATCTGCCTGCTTGTGAAACCCGTGGTACATTTGGATTGGTTCAAGCAAATCTGGGATGTCTGTGGCTAGTGCAACAGTTTCACTCTTGTGGACTCTCTGAGGTCCGCCCTATACCTAGGTCATGAACGACACATGTACTTATACCTCATAGAGATGCAAAGCAGCTGATTTTTATAAAATATTATTCTGCAAAGTACAAATGATTTCATCTTGCTACATGTGTCCACACCAGAACTAGAATCATTTGGTGGGTGTTTTCTTATTCCTGTTCCCCCCCCACCCCGCCACTCCCCATCCTTTCTTCTTTGACTCTTTGAAGAACCACCAGTAACTCACAGGGAACACAGGAAAAATGGAACCTTAAAAGTTTTGTATTTAGAAAAACTAAACACTATTACAAAATTAAACAAACATTGAAACATTTCTCTCTTTTGGATAGTTATAGTTAAATACCCATTTTCTTACTTCTTTCACAGAAATAAAGGAATAACAGCGTTATCCTTGGAAGTCTGCTGAATAAATCTGGTGAAATCAGTTAAAGGAAAATGTCCACATATTATAAGTGCAGCTGTGCCCATATGTTAAAAGAGAAAGAGAGACTTAGGGAGAAGTGGTCTTATCTAGTAATGTCAAGTTATCAAATGTCTATTAGGGTATCTTAAATAAACATCACAGTACACATTTAAAAAGACATTTACAAATGCTTTTAATAAAAGAACAATTGGGAAGAGGTGTGGCAATGGATTGTCATATGTTCAATAAACTCTAACTATGAGAAAAGTGACAATGGAAGCCCTCAACTGTGTCACAGTCTCTAACAGGGTAATAATGTCTACTGTATAGGCATTTGTGACTGAAGTTAACACAACTCTAGGATTTTATTCATTAATATGAAAGGCAAACCAATGATCACATTTAAGGCTTAAATACACCCTTATCTAGCATATTATCAGTTAACTTTTACTCAGTCTAATTTCCATGAGACTTTAATACACAATTTTTCTTTTTTCAGATATAAAATCATTTTAGGACCTAACGTAACGCTTAGAAGAAAAAAATTGCCATCCTTGTACCTTAATTAAAGAATGAACTTGTCACGGAGGCCTTGGTATATTTCTCAAGGCTCCTGGATGCTTGCCAAAGCTGTGGCACACAACGAAGCTCTGTGAGCAAAGTGCTGTGGAAGGAAGCCCACTAGATCTCTGCCTAACTATACAACCCCCTTTCAGCACACTGGAGGTGTTCCAAAAGTGTTTTGTCAGTTATTAATTATTCATGAATATTTTGCTATAACAGCCATAAAAACTCATTTAAAGAATAAAACAAAGACTGAAGAAAAATTTTTAAATACTAAATCAAAAAAGTTCATACTAATTATGAATTTTCTTTTTTTTTTTTTTTTTTTTTGAGACGGAGTCTGGCTCTGTCGCCCAGGCTGGAGTGCAGTGGCCGGATCTCAGCTCACTGCAAGCTCCGCCTCCCGGGTTTACGCCATTCTCCTGCCTCAGCCTCCGGAGTAGCTGGGACTACAGGCGCCCGCCACCTCGCCCGGCTAGTTTTTTTTTTTGTATTTTTAGTAGAGACGGGGTTTCACCGTGTTCGCCAGGATGGTCTCGATCTCCTGACCTCGTGATCCGCCCGTCTCGGCCTCCCAAAGTGCTGGAATTACAGGCTTGAGCCACCGCACCCGGCCTAATTATGAATTTTCTGACAAGTAAGTTACTAGACAAATAAGTCAATTATTAGTTGGCAAAGCAGGATCATATTTAAATCCAATCATTTGACCAATCCTTACCAAAAAAAAAAAAAAAAACTCAGGCCATGTAGGTTTATCCCTATACTTGTACGTTTCATATTTCTAGTTGTAGTAAACAAATGTTATCAATCTCTTAAGCCCTTAACAAACAATTTTATTATTTGGAAGCCTCCATTTTTCTGAAATTCTAGTTCCTTTTCCCAAGCAAAAGAAAGCTATATTATTATGTAATAAGCAAGCTACTAATATAATTAAAAATGTTTTAAAAATTAAACATTTTTAATTATATTAAAAATTAATGTGGTTATCTGTAAAATCACACTGAAATTTAAATAGCATTAAGCCTATTAATCATCTGTCATCTAAAAAAAGTCAAGGAAGCTGGTCTAAAATATAGCTGGTATGATCTTCCCTTTCTTTACACACTTCTTAGTTGATCTGCATGAGACTGCAGCTATAGAAATCTAGATATCCTTTGGCAAAAAAGACAGTTGCGTTTTTTGTTTTTTTTTTTGAGACAGAGTGTTGCTCTTGTCGCCTGGGCTGGAGAGCAGTGACGCGATCTTGGCTTACTGCAACCTCCCAGGTTCAAGTGATTCTCCTGCCTTAGCCTCCTAAGTAGCTGAGATAACAGGCGCCCACTACAGGCACCCACCACCACGCCCAGCTAATTTTTGTATTTTTAGCAGAGATGGGGTTTCACCAAGTTAGCCAGGCTGGTCTCAAACTCCTGACCTCAGGTGATCTCCCCGCCTCACCTTCCCAAAGTGCTGGGATTACAGGCATGAGCCACCGTGCCTGGCTGGTTGCATCTGTTTTGATGTTAGAATAGATAGTCAAGAAAGAACATAATCAAATACAAGTGCAGTCAGCAAATATTTTTCTTTTTTTTTTTTTTTTTGCCTCAGCCTCCTGAGTAGCTAACACTACAAGTGCACGCCACTAAGCCAGGCTAAACAAATCCTCTTAATTAACATTATTATAGCCTAATGTTGCTAGAAACTATTTGCAAGCCTGTTCTGGGCAATTCATTAAAATATTCCAAGTTGATGACTTGTTGAGGGTTGATTTAGTAAGTTTCAGTAGTATTTTTGAAAAAAATACTATTTCTTGAGTATAAGAGCAGGAATTTTCATTGCAAAAAGTGTGGACAATTTTTTAAAAGTATTAATTACCACTGAGAGAGAATATGTCTTCATTTGGGCACACCATAATTTATTTAACCTATTTCGCTTGCTTCTAAAGTTTATTACAAATGTCATTGAAATGCAAAGCTGTGCCCACAAATCACTGTGCTTCTTTTATAACTATTTCCTTAGGATAATTTCTAGAAATGAAATGACTGAATTAAAGCATGATACTGTCACATTGCCTTGTAGAAATACTGGATTAATTTATACTCCCACCAACATGTGTTACAGTGGCCAAGTTAATGCCCATGCTCAGGTATTTCCATTAAAAAATATTTTTACTAAATGAATAAGCAAAACAGAGTGTTCTCATTGTTAGGAAAGCCATTTACATAAAACAACTTAGCGTCACTTATCTATTGGATGGCTCAACCAATAGATATTTGGATATATAAGCTATTGCTATAATTTAAAACAAAATTTTCTTCCAAGTTATTTACCCTTAATTTTTATATCAAGTCCTTTTGAAACAATCATATTAATAATCCATTTATTAATATTCTATAATGATGGCTTTGTTACAAAAAACATTAAAAAGTATGCACTTACTAAAACAGCTAGTGGGAGAGGAATAAAGCCCATCCTCCGTGCTACAGAGTCGCTGTAATCAGTGTACGCCTGAACAGAGAGGAGCAAAAGATTCAGATTTATGGGATTTAAACAGCATTTTAAAAGTACTATTCACTTATTAGCAGCAAATGTTCTAAACAGGTGAGGCTATGGAGCAAGAACAGAATGTGGCACTTATAAAATGGACGTGCAAATCCAAATGTTCACAAGTCTTAAATACAAAGTTGAATAACTTAAAATGCTGCAAAGAGCATACACTACTTAATGTTAAATATTACTATTATTCTTAATCTGTAAATGTTTATTTAGTGTTGAGAATAGATAAGTAGGTTTATGTAGCTTTCCTTTAGTTAATATTTCATGCTAAATTAAGCATTATTCAGTTAATTTCAGACTATGCCTTTGTTAATTTCGGATTATGCCCTTGATAAATGCTCACATTTTTCTGTCGGCTGCTAACAAGGTCAAAAGCAAGACTGGCTCTATATTCACTGTAGACCTAAAGACAAATAAGAATGAAATATTAAGTAATATAGTAAAAATATATCATGCGGAAAGACTTAGATTTTATTAATGAAAACGTTTAATAATTAACCAGGAACAAGTGCTAATAACCAAGCAGACATCTGGGCATAATTTCCTTATTTGTTTTCCTACAGTAAAGGTAAAAAGTAACCTTAATTCCCATGAACTCTTAACATTCATAGATCTTTTAAAAGTTTTTCTTTAAAGGGGAATAAATATCCAATGACTATGATCCTGAGAGTTTGGAATTTGGGGAAGAGTGACTATTTTAAGTAGTGTAATGTATATAAAATAATTTTGAAATTTTAAATTAAATGAATAGTTTAAAAAAATTACTGTTTATCTAACCATAATAATGCCTTCTGAGAAAAATGAATGCTGAAAAAGACATAAAACTAAGTTAGGGAACACAGTAAATATGAAGGCACTTGTGAATGACTATTTCCACTAAAAATTGCACAAGTGTCTCAATCAAGCCTATTAATTTTGACTTCAGATGTTAAATAAATGATCCCATGAAAAGGGAATCATTCTGCATCGAGAAAGTTGAGAAAGTAAATGGTGAAATTACTTTATCAGTGCTTTACAAAAAAGTACAAAACTATTTATTTTAAGTATATTAAAACATTCAGAAACTCATAATCAAATCACAGCTGTTGCAACTGCATTTTATTTTAAATAACTTCCTTTTGAAATAAAACAAATATTACTGTGAGACTGTTATTAAAAGTACCACCCAGTAAAATCTAGAAAACTGTGGAGCTATTATTTATTTTGGGACTGAGGCAGGAATGAGAAATACATTAGGAAACTTTCTTATGTTTTATGTGCAATAAATCTATAGCCACATATCTATTTCTAGAAATTATCCAGAACATCTGATTAAAACATAAAACAAATTTCCCAAAGTTTAACCACTTTCACCAGAAAAACGTAAGGCTCTCGTCTTCTAAAACTTACCAGGAACCTATTCATAATTGTGGAAAAAAATCAATTTTTAAATACAAAATATTTTAAAAACCTAGCCAGAGAGAAAAGTTTTGATGGTCTAAGGTTTAAAATAGAAACAATGTGATTTTAAAGTCTTTAAACAGATTATGACAGTGTTAACTGATCAGAATGATTTTGAGTTAGTGACACTGTGACTTTGACTACAGGCTGGTCTATACTTCTACCCCAAGATATGGAATTAGCATTGCCTAATATTAAAACAGAATACTTTCGATAGTGTAATAATTTTTAGAAATTTAAAATTACAATTCTGACTTTAAAGTATTAATAAACTCCTATTATTCTACAACTTTTAAAAATTAAGCAACAGAAGTAAACTTTAAATATTAAAGTGCATGTCAAAATACATACATCTGCAGTAATGTCATTGAATTTGGTGATAAAGGCATGTTTTACAATATCCACGGCAATTTCTGATGCAATTACCATACAGACATCTGGAAACAACACCCAGAGATGATCTATAAATAGAAAAGAGAAAAACAATGAAATATCTTAATATGAACAGAATCCATATCACAGGCTACCAGAGAAATATGAAATCTCTAGGACAAAACTGTATTTTCAGTAAATGATGAACTAGTATTCAATTATAACCCTTACCAAAAGAGCTATACTGTATCAAGTTAAAGGATACTTCATTCAACAAATATTTGTTCAGGCCTGGCACAGTGGCTCACGCCTGTAATCCCAACATGTTGGATCACCTGAGGTCAGGAGTTTGAGACCAGCCTGGCCAAAATGGCAAAACCCCATCTCTACTAAAAATACAAAAATTAGCCAGGAGTAGTGGCGTGCACCTGTAGTCCTGCCTACTTGGGAGGCTGAGGTAGGAGAATTGCTTGGAACCGGGAGGTGGAGGTTGCAGAGAGCTGAGGTGGCGCTACTGCGCTCCAGCCTGGGCGACAGAGCAAGAACAACAAAAACCCAAATACTTATTCATTACTTTCTAAGTGCCAAGAACTGCTTTACAAGCGGGCTCCGGGGGTTTAGCAGAGAGCCTCTGACTTTACGAAGCCTACGTGCTGACATGCTGATGGGATGACTAGATTAAGCAGGTTCCTTAGAAAATCCTTTAATTCCAGAGCTGCCTCAACGTGACAGTAAATAGCTAGAAGAGATGTGCTGTAGTCTTTGCAGATGAGCAATCTTCTCCTTCTTTGATCACTACAACTTAAAGATATTGATCAATCCTTTGTTTCACTGTCATGCAGATGTTAACCTGATAAATTTGCTCACCATTATCACATTTAAATGTCTATTCAAGTAAGACCTAGTGTTAGATAGATAAATAGGGTAACTGTAGTTTGCAGTAATCTACCGTGCATTTCAAAATAGGTAGAATAAAAGAATTTCACCGGTTTTAACAAAAAGACAAATATTTAAGATAATGGATATCCCAAGTACACTGATTTGATCTTCACAAAGTATATGAATACATTAAATTATCACTTGCACACCCAAACTATGAAAATTACGCATCAATTAAAAAAATTTTTAATGCCAATTCAGTATCAGGTGCCTGATAAAACACACCCACAGACAACCTGCTAAGAACTTGGAAAAGAATGTAAGAGTGGGATACAGCAAGAAAAAGATAGGGAGAAACACTGACAAGGACCCATAGCAACTCAAGACCCAGGTAGCCGGAGGATGGGATGGAGACCACACAGCTGGGCTATCCTGGCTGACAGTGTAGGCAGCTTCTGTGAGTCTGGCATTACGTCAAGTTTTAGAAATCAAGGGACCTCTTTCTCCGATAAGCTCTGCTACTAACTGCTATATGACCTTGGGCAAGTTTTTTTTTGAATCAACATCACTGGCAAAGGGCAAGTTTCTTAATTAGCTAAATTCCAGCTTCCTCAACCACAAGGTAAGGATAGTAAGTGTCTACACTTAATTATTATGAGATCTAAATGAGATAATGGTGCACAGCAATATTCCTGGCATACAAAATGGCTAGTGCTGTTTTTATATTCCTCATGACCCTGAGAACTTAGAGCAACCTTCCATAAATGGCACTTTGTTGGGTTTTTTTAAAGAAATTTTAATAAACCTAAAAAAAGAGTGAAAATGGTGAATTCATCAATAAAAGCAAGTGTTCCTTTTATCATATTATCTGCCATAGCAGTAATAAAGGACGCAAGATAATTTATTAAAAGTCACAGTATAAATGAGAATGACTTCAAATATCCAGCTGTCTAGGAGGCATAAAGACTATTTGTCTTTTGTTTTAACCACTCAGCTTTGGGAATTGCTGATCCTACATGTACTCTACTGGAACCAGTGACATATACCCACTCTGCCCTTCATGGACACCCTGTTAGGTGACTTAGTTATAAAGAAATATATCACCATTCACTGAAAAAAATCTGGGTACTCAATGAATCTAGCTGTGTGTGTGGAGGAAGAGGCTTTTCCACCACAAGCCAGGTAGCCTACTCCAGCTGCTGTCAGATATCATTTAATCTTATGGTTTCTCTACGAAAAAAACTTCTGAAAATGTATCTCCAAGAGCATATCTCTCATTTTATATGTTTTTGATTTTTCAGTTACTTGAAAATTACCAATGAATTAAAATAAATTAGTAAGTTAATAAATGCCTATAACATATATAATATTGGGAGTAATAAATGAAATCTAAAACATGGTCTCATCCTTTAAGAATGAGATTCCAACAAAAACGTCAGATATTCAAACAAAAACTCTAAATTACTTGAGATACCTGAGAAATTGATCATTTCCCACTTAGCTCACTTCAGCATTATAATTACCCATTTCCCCTTAATTAGCCTGTAAGTCCTACAAATGTCTTAGTATTTTCTACATTTGCCACAGTGCCTGCCCTTGTGCCTAGAAACTAGCATACGCTCAGTGAATGTCTGCTAACTGAATGGATAATGAAAATTCATGGAATGTTGACAATTTCCTGTCAGCCTGAATTTAGAGATGTACCTAAGTAGCAAAATTTCCACCTTACTTTATATTTAATTTACCCCTACTTAAAATGCTAATCAATGGGTAAAAGATAAATGTTAGGGAAGAGCAAAGGTTCTTCTGGTCAACCCCTAAGATGAAAATGATCTTTCTGGATTTAGGTAACTAAAGCACACTACAGTTAAAAATAGAGAGGCTCAGAACTGCCAGGTATAATAGGGTGCACTCACCTACTGAGTATACAGCTCCAGAGACACGGAGGGGTTTATAGAAAATGACAGCAACCCACCACACCACAGAAAACATACCCAATCCATTCTACTGAAACAGGTACTGTCATGTGTCACTCAGCAACAGGGACACATTCTAAGAAATGTGTTTTTAGTCAATTTTGTCATTGTGTGAACATCATAGAGGGTACTTACACAACCTAGATGGTATAATCACACACCCAGACTATATGGTATAACCTACTGCTCCTAGGCTACAAACCTGTACAGCACATTATCATTCTGAATATTGCAGGCAACCGTGACACAATGGTAAGTGTATCCAAACATGTCTAAACACAGAAAAGCACACTAGGAGACTAGGTGACAGGAATTTTTCACGTCCATTAGAAACTATGGGACCACCGTTGTATATGTGGTCTATTGTTGACTGAAATGTCATTATGTGACAGATCATTGTTTCTCCAACACCCAAACAGTAAAACAGCCAAAGTCTTTTGAAGCTTTCTGCAATATTCATTTTATTCCGTGTAAAAGAACGATTTTGGCTTAGAAGGAAAATTATAAGACATTGTTTTGTTAAGAGTGAGTTACCTGGATTCCAAGAAAACTGTTCCATGTTTCTCAGACACACTATTAGTAAAAGCACATAATTTGTGAATCGTTCCTTAATATCTAAAAGAAAAAAAAATCAACATATAAGTACTGTAGTGTATATAAACAACACAATAAAGTACATATAGGACACAATTCTTTTAGTCAGAACATGAAATTATTAGACAATGTATAAATGTCCATAAATATACAACTTTATATATATATATATATGCGTGTATATATATAGGTTGGTGCTATCTTGGTAAGCCACTGACTTCTTTTGCCAACATAATTCTAGTATGGAAATTCCAGTTTTCTATTAACTTCAAAAAGTATTCAAACGATCAAACTGCTCAGACTGGGTCATCAGATTCCTCCAATGGTCTTTGGGGACATATGACAACTGTTTCCATTTTACAGAAGAAAAAATAGAAGCAAAGAGTAAAATGAAAGACTTTGGGTAATAAAATCCCTGTATAAAATCCCAGACTATTTCCAATCTGGTAAATAGTACACAATTACTGAACTGATGAGTCCTTTAGCTGAGAGAATCCTGCTATTACAATAGCATTTCTTGCGGTGTAGGCAGAACTTGAGGGAAAATACCCCAAATTGGGCTTCATAATATTTACCATAAACTAATAACTATGTGCTGAGATTAGGTGGAATGAATTTAATAAAATCAAATCACTGAATTATTGCTAAAGGCCAGTGTACACATTTCACTTTTAAGCTGTTAACTTTCTCAGTCTAAGATACTATGTAATCAAGAAATGGGATGAAATAAATTTGTCTGCAGTTAAGAGTGGCACACCCATGGCTGTGTAACAGTGGGGGCTGTGACTAGAAACAATCACTCATATAACAACCCCACTCAAAAGTTTTTTTACAGTCTGTTGTCATTTCCCTACTTTCCCAATGCCTCAGTAATTGCAAGCCTCACCCATATCATTCAGCCATGGTACGCCTCCTATAAGTGCTCTGAATTTCAGTTTCATCCTGATGTAATTCATGGGACTGTCCTTGCTTCTCTTTTTTTACTTCCACCTTTCCTCATTATTCTCTAGCAATGTGATTAAAAACTTTTATTCCACAGCAAAACCTCCTTCTCTATAAGTGAGTTGGCCTTTACTCTCTGTACCTTCCCTACATCCTTAAGCTCTTCCAGTCAGTTGCTGGTACCTTCTTTTTCAGGGTAGCTCAGCTCCTTATTAGTGATGGGTCTGAGCTGTGCCTTCGCTCCCTCAAAGCCCAGTGGGCACTACTTGCTTCCTACTTCCAAAGTTGAAGCACCATTCGTTATGCAGTACTACATTTTGGAGTGTGAGCTCAGGGCACAGTGAGTCTCAAGGTACCAAGCACTGAGATGCCTCCTTAGGAGGCAGGGCACCTCCGGAGCAAGTCCACGTGGAGTTTTCAGGCGCACCTGTTTTGATTCGTTCTAGATCACACGTTTAATTTATTCTGTGACGTTAAAAGAGGATACAGGTTAAAGGAAACTAAGAAAAGTCTGCCCTAGAATAAGTTCCATCAAAGTCTGACACAAAATATATTCTTTGTTACTATAGCTAACTGTGGATCTTAATTCGTGGGGTTAAATTTGCCAATGTATCTTTAATTGGAATTCTGTAGAATTATTCACCAAGCTGCACCTATATGTGTGCTAAGTCCTTTCTAATTTCCATAAATGAATTTAACAATGAAACGTATTTATTTTTGATACTTCCCAAACATGAATATGTAATATAGACTTGTTTCATTACAGAATTATATGAAAATAAATGACCTTGAGAAATTTAAAACACTATTTGAAATGAGCCAAAGTAACTTTTCTAAACTCTAATATAACAAAGCGAAACTACTGTAGAATTAATCTAACTGTATTTGATTTTTGGGCACATGGCAGCTGCAAGTATAGAGAAAATCTGCAATAATTTCATTTCTAAGGATACTGATGAAAGGGGAAAACCTATCTCATTAAAGGTATATTTAAGGCAAAACAGATTTTATTTTTTATTTTTTATGATTTCTTAGTTTTTTGAGACAAGAGTCTTGCTTTGTCTCCCAGGCTGGAGTGCAGTGGCATGATCTTGGCTCACCGCAGCCTCTACCTCCCGGGTTCAAGTGATTCTTCTACCTCAGCCTCCGGAGTAGCTGGGATTACAGGCATGCGCCACCATGCCCAGCTAATTTTTGTATTTTTAGTAGACAGGGTTCCACCATGTTGACCAGGCTGGTCTCCAGTTCCTGATCTCAGGTGATCCGCCCGCCTTGGCCTCCCAAAGTACTGGGATTACAGGTGTGAGCCACTGTGCCCAGCCCAAAACAAATTTTAGAAAAGCAGACTATTCAAAAAAAAAGCAGACTATTCCAAAAAAAGATATTAATAAAAATGGATAAATTTGGTAAATAAATGCAATTTTATAAGATGAAGTATGTGAAGGATGGCAAGCTTAAATATTAAAAAGTGACACCATAAAAATTAACTGTATCTTTATTTGATAAGATAAAGATATAAAACTATAACTATAAAGATGAGGTTGTTATGTGAAGATTTTTTTGAAAATTTTATTCTTACACTTTCACAACTTTTACATTTAAATGTTTTACATAGACATTATAAAATCAAGATTTGACTTTTAAAATTTGAGTTAAAAAATATCCAAATTTTAAGTGTCTCCAAACAAGATATAAAAAGAAATAAAATTTCTATGAGAATAACAGAGTCTCATACTGATAATCTAACATATATTAGATAAATAATGCAATCAGCAACAAATTTATACCATATCTCATCTTCAGAATAGTCAGGGTTCGGATTAGAACTGAACTCTTACATTAATTAAAAATTAAAATTTCTAAGAATGTTTTCTCCTAACCTTTATCAAGAAGCTTAAAAACACTGGTATTAATGCTTTTAAATATGTCTGATATTCAGATTTTTCCTTGCTATATTACCACTAACAGGGATATATTTTAACATATTTGCAGTCACATTTTAAATATAAAATGAGTGACTATTTCCAATAAACATCCATATTTATTGCAGCTTTGCAGGCTTCTAAGAGTGTTAAGTGAGCTATAAGCTTACTCCAGACAACCTAACTTCTGAAGGACCTTTCCAAATGCACAGTTCACATTACCAACGGGTAAAAATCTACCTAAAATTCTTCATCTCAAGAATGCGAACCAGAACGACTGGGGTTCCACATTCAGCTGATGCTTATGATATAACGAAGTGAAGAAAAGGATAAGTTGTTAAAAACCTGGTTTTATTAACTAAACTACTTTTCACATGTCCTCAGGCAATTCCTCCAAAGAAAACATACGGTGAGCTACCACTGAAAGGGGTAAAGTTACTCTCAGATTTCTCCATGAAGTCTTCTATATTAAACCAGCATGAAGGACTAAAACTTACACTATGTATCTGGCAAGTCAACTTCTGATGGAGAAAAAATTCATAGGAAAATTCATAAGAAAAAAATAGCCAATATGAGTATCCCTGCTGACTGGCTCTCATTAAGTAACTACTACTGAAGCATGTGAAAGAGGCAACATATTCATATCAAGAGTAAAAAGCACTTCTTGGTGACTCCTGATCTTTCCATTTTAATAGCTGAATGTTACATGTAATGTTAGCAAGATTGCCTAGAATTTTTTTTTCTTAAGTTCTTTTTTTTTTTTTTTTGAGACGGAGTCTCACTCTGTCACCCAGGTTGGAGTGCATTGGCGCAATCTCGGCTCACTGCAAGCTCTGCCTCCTGGGTTCAGGCCATTCTCCTGCCTCAGCCTCGCGAGCAGCTGGGACTACAGGCACCCGCCACCACGCCCAGCTAATTTTTTTTTTTTTGTATTTTTAGTAGAGATGGGGTTTCACCGTGTTAGGCAGATGGTCTCGATCTCCTGACCTCATGATCTGCCTGCCTTGGCCTTCCAAAGTGCTGGGATTACAGGTGTGAGCCACTGCGCCCGGCCCAGTTAATTTCTTACAAAACTCTTAAAGGGTACAATGCAGACCACCGTGCATTGTAACACGAGCTACTTTGCTTACGGCAAAAGGTAATTTTTTTTGGTGCTAAGTAGTAATCATTTTAAGCCAAAATAAAGTCCAAATTTCTTGTAAACTGATATGCATACCTGATCATTATATCATTTTTTTTTCCAGCGTTTTCTTAAAACTCAAATATTGAATCCCTAATCTTTCTAAGATAAGAGGTTGGAATTCTGGGGAACCCATTTATAAAAATGAAAAGGGGTATTAATTACATCAACATGCTGGCCATGAGGTTAAAAACATTTCACAATTTCCTCTTCATAATTTTGAGGCTTTTATACATAAGGATTGAAAACCCTTAAAACTTAAGATTTGCGTGTCTAGTTTAAGTCTCTATAAAGAGTGCTTACCCAAAGGAGGTTACTAATATGAATTAATTTTTAAAAACCATGGTTTCTACAACAAATGAAATGCTTACAGCTGAATCAATTTACTCATGGTTAACTACTGAAGCAAAGTATTCTATAATTTAGTACCTTCCCTCCTTCCTCTTTCATGTCTAATTCACGACACTTGGCAGTCTGCACTTGAAAGGTGAGGAACATTAATAGCGAACTGCCCCTCAGAGCTTTGAGAGTCAGGTCCAGCATGGCCTCATAGAATCATCTAGGCTTTATGTTCAAGTTTTCCATTTGTTCTTTTCATTCCTTGCTTAGTTTTCAAATCTCCTGTAACTTGTTTGTTTTAACATATTCATACGCCATTATTTTCCTTGTCTAATATACAGGTAAAATTTACATACAGTGAAATGCACAGATCTTAAGTATATATAATATATATACTTATATATTATATATATACTTACATAAAAGTATATGTAATATATAATATATATACTTATATACTATGTAAGTATATATAATATATATAATGTGATGAGTTCTGATCAATGCATGACTTGTGACACCAAGCCCTTAATACAGAAAGAAGTTCCATCACCCAGAAAGCTCCTTTGAGTCCCCTTAGTCAATCCAAATGCCCAATAAGCAACCTCTCTTATTCCTATCATCATAAATGAATTATTTCTGATCATAAACTTCATATAAACGAAATACATTATGTACACTTTTGTGTCTGGCTTTTCTGCTCAACATAATGCTTCTGAGACATAACATAGTTGACACTATTAGGAGTTCATTCTTTCATCTTTAATTGCTGAGTAGTATTCTATGGTACGGATATACAATTTGTGTATTTTCCTATTGATAGGTATTTGGCTTGTTTCCAGTTTTTGGCTAGTATGAACAAAGCTGCCATAATAATTCTTGCAACAAGTCCTATTAAGAAAATGTATTTTCGGCACTGAATTACAGGGCAAGTGAACATTTAACTGTGTAAGAAATGGACAAAAACAGCAGTTGTAATACTTTACACTCACGCCATCGATGCATGAGTGCCAGTTAATCCATATCCTCACTAACTTGTGGTACTGTCAAGCTACAAGAGCAGCCACTCTGGAGGGTGTGCAGTGCTATCTCATTATGGCTTTACTTTGCCTTTCTCCAATGACATTTTTCCCTAATAATGCTGAGAGCTTTTCATGACCTTATTGGACATTTATAGATTTTCTTTTGTGAAATGTCTGTTCAAGCCTTTTCCCCATTTTAAAACTGGATTGTCTTTTCATTATTGATTGGTAGTTTGTTATATATTCAGAAAACAAAAAAAAGTCTATCGTCAGATAAATGTATCTCAAATCTTTTCTCTTAGTACTGTGGCTGGTCTTTTCACTTTTTAAATTTTATGATCCTACATTTTAATTTTGAAGAAGTCCAGTTTCTCTCTTTTGTTTTATAGTTAGTACTTTTTGTGTGGTCTCTAAAAATGTTTGCCTAGACCAAGGTTGTGAATGTATTCTCCTATATTTTGTTCTAAAAGTTTTATAATTTTAGCATTTATGTTTAGGGTTATGAACCACAATGAATTAATTTTCTTGGGCAGGGGAGGGGCCAAAGTTCTTTTTTTTAACTTTTATCCAACTAGTCCAGCATTACTTGTTGAGAAACTCTTCTCACTAAATTTTAATTTGTTTTAGAAAATATCTTTTTTATTGAAATGTTATTTTTGTAAGCATGTAATATTTTTATTAAAACTTCCCAGTTTTAATTTCAAATATGGTAAATAGCGAGAGACATAATCCATATAAATAAAAGTCCTTTGGGATCATCATACTTTTTTTTTTTTTTTGAGATGGAGTTTCGCTCTAGTCACCTAGGCTGGAGTGCTCTGGTGCGATCTCGGCTCACTGCAACCTCTGCCTCCCAGGTTCAAGCAATTCTCCTGCCTCAGTCCCCGCTCTGTAGCTAGATTACAGCTACAGAGTAGAGTCCGTAGCTAGGATTACAGCTACAGAGTGACAGGCACCTGCCACCATGCCCAGCTAATTCTGGTATTTTTAGTAGAGACGAGGTTTTACCATGTTGGCCAGGCTGGTCTTGAACTCCTGACCTAGGTGATCCACCAGCCTCAGTCTCCCAACGTGCTGGGATTACAGGCGTGAGCCACTGCGCCCAGCTGATCATCATACTTTTTGAAGCATGTAAAAGGGTCCCAGAAGCAAAAACACTGACAAGCACTGCTTTGGATGAGCCATGTGTGCTCTTATCTACAACCAGCCCACACGCCTCCCCCATGACACGCCTCACCTTCCTCAAGGACATCAAGCCAGGTTCCTTTAGGGATCCTCTCTATTGTACATCTGTCTGGATTCATGCTAAAACACTACCATTTTTTCATGACTTGTGCAAATGTCACCATGGCAGAAGAGATGAATAATGTCTTCATATTCTTGTGAAAACACTTTTGACTCTGAGCACACTCCCTGGTAGAGCCCCTGGGACTGTTCTTGAGGGCTCCATGATCCACTACACTGTTCTGCTCTGGCTTTCAAAAACTATGTAAGACACCGACTCCAGGCAAAAAATTTTGTCCCTTCACACTTTTTAGGATTAGAATGAAGGCAGTAAATAATAACTAAAAAAGCTAAGGACTTAGAGACATTCTGAGATTCACAGCCATAATTCTCCTAGAAGCTGTGTGACTGTGGAGAAGTCAAATTATTTTCTCTGTGTTTCAGTTTTCACATCTATAAAATGGAATAATACCACCCACTTCAGAGAAATTTCTAGATTATTCAGAAGCTTCTCAAAGTATCATATGGTGGTACACAAATGTTTCTAATTTTTTATCTCAAACATCTTGTAACTATAGTAACCAAAGATAAGAAAACCTAGTAAAGATGTTGATAGCATAAGAGAAGGTACAGTTTAAGTTGAAGAAACAGTGGCCCAGAGAAAATGTGCCATTAGGATTTCAGAATGAACTGCAAAATACCGCACAGAACTTCAAGTAGAATCTAATCGTACATACCACTATTTGACATTTGAAAGAGATTGTTCTTTTCAAACTTCTTGAAAACACTTCCTTTAATTTCAACAAACTGAAACAGTAAACAGAAATATCTTTATGATTATAACAGTTTAAAAACTGGACTTGCTTCCTATAAAACTTCCGGGAGAACAACATATAGAACAAAGAATTTTATCCCACCCAGAGTATTGCAGCTGAAATGCCCATATAACTTCAAAAATGTAAGATAAATCTCATACTTACATTATTAGACATCATGATAGTAAGCAAAGACTTGTTGTGTGAGTTAAAAGCTACATTGAGAGTTGTTGCTTGAACCATAATAAGAATTGCATGCAAAACTAATAGAAGGTCAAGGAAAAAACTTAAATTTGTTTTCATATTATTACTGATAATACTACAAAATTTTGAAAGTGAACAATAAAGAAAGAAGATGACTTTCTTTTCTAAATCATCTCACGTAAGTATTATATTATCTTCATAATTTCCCTATTAGCTATAGTTGATATAAATTTGACAGGATATCCACATGAAATGAACAAAAGTGGAAATGTACCTCTACACATTCATTTATTTAGACTACGAATCCTTTGGAACAGGGTTGTTTTGTTCTTTCCGTATCTCTGGCACTTGGCACAGTGCTCAGGAAATAGGTCCTCAAAAAACTTTGTTAAGTAAATGGAATAAATTATGGTAAATACTGAAAGAAGAGACGAAGAAATACACATTCTGAATTAAGATAATTTGCAATGTAAAAAAGAAAGCACAAACTATAAGTCTGGAAGTGATTTTCTTCCCTGATTCTTTAGGAAATGTGGAATGTAAGGCAGTAAGAAATATCTGATAATTAAGATTCTTCTTCATATGTCATTTTGAATATATCCATAAACTGCAGAATTACATTTGTATTACATACAGAAGAGTTAATTTATATCTAAGAGTGGTAACTGCTTTACTCCATTAAAACTGGAACAATCTTCTACCCTCACAGGTATCTTCCCATTTGGTTCTTTAACTTTCCAAGTATTAACCCAATTTCTTTCAAGTGTCACTCTTACAGAGATAGAAAAAAAAAAAGTGACACATTCTTGTGAATGAGTCCTGACTTCACATGGAACTTAAAAGCAGGAACGTGTGTTATAAATATGTAGGGGTACACACAAACATGTACACTGCTTATATAATAAAGCATTTACTCTCCAATAGAAAAGCTTTAAGCCAGGGATGAATACACAAACACACAAAACCACCAAAACTCCTCCCAACCAATTTCACAATTTACTTTTAGATAAATTCTATGCATTTTAAGCCCAAGATTATAAAAAAGAATTCCTGGATTTAAAGATAACTTCAATAAAAATTCTAATATAAGTATGAAAAATTATATAGATCTATGTAAATGTAATGTATGTATAAAAATACACTGCCTTTTTATTATAAAATTCTTCCTTATAATCAGTTACACTGCAAATAGAACTGTTTTCCAGCAGCTCAAAGAATAATGCATACATGAGGCTCCTTAATTACAATTATTATGACAACCAATTTCTCAACAGAACACAGATATTTCACATTAATCTTCAGGATACATACATTATATCTATGTCTTTAAATCTATGAAATGGCTAACCAAATAAAATAAGGTAGACTATGCATTAACTGTTGGAAATTTCCAGTAAGTCTATAAGGATACAGACATAGAGAACAGCCATGAAAAAGTGAGGAATCACCCCAATGTGGGCTCTTTTTCTTTCTTTAGGTTCTGTTGCTGTCCAATAGAGAGCATCTAATATATCTTGTCCAAAAGATGAAAACAGACGATCAGCTACCTAAAAAAGAAAAATGACTTGTAAGATGTTTCTTAATATTCCACTTAAATATGTCATTAAAATTGAGATATAGCTCAAATCCTGAAGATCTACTAGGATTTAAAATCCTAGTAGAAGGCAAGCTAAAGAAGAGTGAAGATGTTTACTTATTCACTCACATTTCTTTATTCTTTAACAAATAGTAAGTGCTACAATATGTATAGAATTTCAATCAGACTGTCCAATTAGCTATGTTTGTAACAAAGAAAGTCTTAAACAGTGGCAAAAATAAAAGGGGTGGGCACATCTGGCCAGGCACGGTGGCTCACGCCTGTAATCCCAGCACTTTGGGAGGCCGAGGCGGGTGGATCATGAGGTCAGGAGATTGAGACCACCCTGCTAACACAGTGAAAAGCCGTCTCTACTAAAAATACAAAAAATTAGGTGGGTGTGATGGCGGGCGCCTGTAGTCCCAGCTACTCAGGAGGCTGAGGCAGGAGAATGGCATGAACCCGGGAGGCGGAGCTTGCAATGAGCCAAGATTGCGCCACTGTACTCCAGCCTGGGCGACAAAGTGAGGCTCTGTCTCAACAACAATAACAAATTAAAAAAAAAGGGGGGGGGGGGTGGGCACATCAGAAACATTGTTCCTCTGGTTTTAGCACTTTAAATTCAAACTCAGGATTCAAATTTAAGACAAATATATCATTTGACCTACTCGTATCTAATATTTGCAAACAATGGTAACTGTATTTTTTTGAGGTTTATTATACGGAATAAAATATGCAGATTTACTTCCTAACCATATTTTCCGGTATCAATCTCCTTGAATACAGTATAACAAGTAAAAAGTGACACATAAAACGGAGAAAAGGAGGGCATGATATTCAGGATTCAGTTTGAATGCCACATCCTAACAGAGGCCTTTCCCAGACCATCTAATCTCTTGTGGCTGCTATGGTATCTACTGCATTAGTCTGTTCTTTTTCATCATACAATATATCATTTCCTAATATCTCCTTGTTTATTGTCTATCTCTCACCTGTAGAATATAAGCTCTATGAGAATGGGCTGGTTCACCTGTGAGTATTCAGGGTCTAAGATGCTTGGCATGCAGCAAGTGTCAACTAAAGATCTGCTGAATGAATAACAGCTACCATTTAGGGAGCTCCTACCATGGGCCTGATATTGTGCTAAACCCTTTCTATGTGTGGTCTATTTAATCCTCATAATCTCCCTAGTGTCTCCACTTTACAGATGAGAAACTGAGGATTAGAGATATTCAGCAACAGTAACTATGTCCAGGATAACCAGGTAATAAAGGAAGGACTAGGATTTGGTCAGAGGTGGTTTGCCTCTAGACCAGAGCATGGACTCTCATCCACTGTGTTTAGGCCACCTCATCAATTATGGTCTACAATGTGAATATGTATATAAATCATTTTAATCAGCAATGCATGGATCCTTTTTCTTGGCCTATTTTCTAGTAACAATACTACTACTACCTTGAGAGGGCTTTGTAAGTCAGGGGACAGGGAGAAACCCTCGCACTTTCCAATCTCCTAAGATGGAAAGCCTACGAAGGAGAGACTAGAAGGGTAGTGGTGACAAGAGCAAGGCAGAGAGTAGAGGGGAATAGCGAATGAGGTCTAGGCTCTTTCTATGAGAAGGAAGGGAGAACAAGATGAGCTATTCTGTTTCAGGAACTTTGTCCCCATCCACCCCTAGGCAACCTACTTGGTGGGGCAAAGTGTACATGCAGCAAGCCTAGAATCAGGAAGCTGGGGTATGGTTTTAAAATATCTTGGTCTTGAATTTAGGAGGTACCAGAAGGCTAGAGCTCCATGGCTTCTTTGAAGAGATGGAGAGTCGTTATCTACCACAGCAATGCAGCTTCAGAGCAAAAAGGCCAGCAGCCCCCACCCCATCTGTCCTCTCACTAGGAAAAATCTCTTCATGGCTAATTAAAAAGATAAATAGACCTTATTTGTATCCCACCAAAAATAAAATATAAAAATGCAATTTGAATTTCTTTTTTTTTTTTCCCCGAGATGGAGTCTCGCTCTGTTACCCAAGCTGGGGTGCAGTGGGATGACTTCAGCTCACTACACAACCTCCACCTCCAGGGTTCATGTGATCCTCCTGTCTCAGCCTCCTGAGTAGTTGGGATTACAGGCATGTGCCACCAGGCATGGCTAATTTTGGTATTTTTAGTAGAGACGGGGTTTCACCATGTTGGTCAGTCTGGTCTTGGACTCCTAACCTCAGGTGATCTGCCCGCCTCAGCCTCCCCAAGTGCTGGGATTACAGGTGTGAGCCACTGAGCCAGCCTGCAATTTGAATTTCAAAGTTTATTATATAACTTAGGTAGCTTACTATTTTAAAAACTTATGAATATCTGGCTTATAAAGCAAAGCAGTTTTTTGCAAGGTGAATATATGTCAGCTCAACTTATTTTTTACATAAATGCAGATTTTCATATGCTGAATGCTTTAAAGTGAGACGTATTGTACTAAAAACATTAAGTACTTACAAAAATAGGGAACTTATATTTATTTGCCCTATGTAAAGATTTGAATTTAAATGTGCAATTTAAAATGTGTATTTCTTATAGCAAACATACACATAATCATAACATTTAACTCATAATTTAAAGTTCTAGCATGGGTTTCTAATGAAGTTGTGAAACTAATTTTCCTAGCACTTGACAATTTGGATACTCAAGGGGGTACTGGTTCTAAAATGTCTGGGCAGCAAGACTCTTCCCAGCCTACGTGAGGACACACCATGCCTGCAGGCTTGCCACCAGAGGTGTGCCCCAGACCAGCAGCATGAGCCCCACCGCCTGAGAAATGCAGATTCTCCAGACCCAGCCCAGATTTCCTAAATAAGAATCCATGTTTAACAAGAGCCCCCAAGTGATGATAGCACAGTAAAGGCCAGAAGCACCACAACTAGAGTCGGTAGAGCATTCTTGACTCTCAGGTACCTTCAGAATTGGAAGACTTGAAGCTGAGTGCCCTGGCCAGGCCTGTGCAGGGTAAGCGAGGTCCTTACCTCCAGCATGTTGTATATGATGTAGAGCTTGATGACGGACTGCCCCCTTATCAGGTGGTACATCATGGAGTAGTCAACATAGTGCATCATAAAATAGCAGATGACCAAAATGACACCCTTCAAAATGTCACATACCTGGGCAGGCTGAAGCAAACGTCTGTCCCTGAAACATACAAGAAGTAATAAAAATATAAGTTTTACTCTGTATGTTCTCACAAAAACAATAATCTTTACTTGATATACACTGGCATACAAAGGTAAAAATAAGAATTATGTTGATCTTTTAAAAACTTCAAACAAGGGAAGTTAAACTACATGACTACTCGACAGTGTAAAATTTTCTGTCCAAGTATAGAATATAAAGATTTTAAGTGAGAATTACTATTAGATGTTGGCAATCTTAACAAATGAACACAGAGGGCAGGTATCTACTGATAGGGTGCTTTCGAGCAACAGATTTCCACCATTATGGCATAAACTTTTAACTAATCATGAATCTCTGCATGTAGCCTGCTGGATCAGCCCTTTTCACACAATGCCACATTCTATGCATACTGCTCTGCATCTTGTACTTAATGGCATAATATTCCATACAAGTTCATCAGGACTTCATATTTTTATGGCAGCATAGTGTTCCACTATGTGGACGAACTATAACTTATTTAACGTACCACTGACAGATTTCTAGTCTTTTGCAATTATAAGCCATGATGCAATGTACATGCCATGTCTCATATATGAAAGTGTATCTGTAGGATAAATTCCTGAAATTGGAATTCCAAGGTTATATTCACTTGAAATTTTGACAGAAACAGCTGAACTGCCCACTGTGCTGTACAGGGTATGGTTTATACCTTAACTAGCAATGTCATGAGAAAGCCTGTAGCCCAGGGCACTGATACAGTGTTTGACTAACTTTTGGATCTTTGCCAGTCTCATTGGTGGAAAATTGTACACAGTGTAGTTTTAACATTAATTTCTATCATTAGGAAACTAAACATCTTTCCACATATTTAACAGTTATTTATATTTCATGTGAACACTCCCTATCTTTTTTGTACTGGTTTATAGGACAGCTTTTGTATTACAGATGTTAGTCCTATGTGACTTCAGTTGAAATTTTTTTTCATAATTAATATGAGCAGAATAATCACTCCTTACTTCTGAGGTTAGAGTATAAGGAGCTAAACCTAAATTGTGAAAGGAACCATCTTAATAAGACGGAGCAAAAAATACATTAGAAAAGAAGAAATTAAGATTTCTTCCACTGGATTTAAAATTCTTGTGACAAGAATGGGAAAGATACGTTCTCTTTGCCTGTTGTAGGCTGACTCCTCAGGACGGAAAATGCTGTCTCTTGTTCTGGCAGTTTTTATGCATAGTGCAATCAATAAAACAGCCCGAGTATATTTTTTTAGGAGCTGCAGAATCTCTTCATTTCCACCAATTATGACGATGTTCTAAGCAACAATACAGGGGTGGGCTCATTTTCTAACTGGCCATTGGCCGTCTGAGTCACCAATGTATTTGATATTCCTTGGCTACATATTCTCCAGAGCTCTTTCCTAATGCTTTTCCTTCAAAGACCTTTGTGGAGTTTAACAAGGAATTTGTAAATCTTCCAAACTGTTACTTGAAACATTGCTTTATAAAGTCACAATGATGCTCTACCAATCCTGTGAGCAGTTGTTACAGAAACTCATTCTTGTTTTCTACAATGTGCACTGTATGATGTTTTCAGTTAGAAATGAATTTGGCTGATCTATTTACAGACAGAATGTAAGATACTGCAGAAGTTCTGAAAGCAGGCAAATTCTGTGAAGACTGTTCACCAAGGGCTAAAGGTGGCTGGACATACATTGGGCTGGACCAATGAGCCTAAACGAGAGAGAGGTCAGAATTTGTCTAAGTCAGATCACACGACTTAAGATGGGTATGGAAAGCCAAGTAAAATTATTCTTAGCAGTTGAAGTTAAGGCTTTGGGAAAAATTGCATCAAGGACAAAGTTGATCAATCTCTATCATTATTTCTCTTTCACCATGACTTTCTTTTATCCAATGCTGTTCCTCTTTCTGCCACAGAGAAAGAGAGAGACCTTTTTCTCCTCAGGGAACAAAGAATGCCCTTCATCTCCTAACTCCCAGCCAACCAGCCCAGAGCACAGATCTCTGCCAAGGACTATCTGAATATCAAGGTAATTTCCTGCCTCCATCCCTACAAGACTGAAAATGGAAGACCTATTATACCTGCCAAGAATTGGATCTTGATTCTTAAACATATTTCTCATCCAAACACTGAGAAGAGGAGACATTTTGAACACTTGTGAGCTCCTGGCCTTGGTGTGACTGTCTCCACTTGGGCGGCAGGGAACAAATGGTGAGCCACCAGCCCCCACTCAGAAGTGTGGCACAGCTCAGCATATATTGAAAGTCACACATCCCCAACAGTCATGGGCTTTTGTGTTCAAAGACTGTAAATCATGTTTATAAATTAAAGAAAATGATACGAACTAAAAGTAGGGTAGTATTAACTTGTATTAATTACAAAAATAACTTTGATAACTAATTTAAGTAGAAAACTATACTTAGAGCTTTTGGTATTAGATGGCATCTACTTAGTTGAGTGATCTCAGTCAGAGCAATTTTATTTAAGAGACAAAGGGTTTTTAAGTATATATCCAATTGTGTTTCTTTATATACATATTTGGAATCAAAGAACAATGTGTTAGTATATCAATGAAGGAACAGTATATTTAATACAAGCCATAGTTAGAAATTAGATCTACCAAACATTGGAAATACATATCCCAAAATGATATAATACCACACTTTTTGAACCAAGCTGACAAATTAACAAAGAAAAGTTGTAGAAACACCTAATGCTACAATTCAGTTACTATGTGGCAGGCACTATTCTAGACAATCCACATATATTCCTTTTAGTGTTCACAATAATCCTATTTATTTAATCATCTCAGTTTTACAAATGAGCCAAGGGACAGTCAAGAACACGCCTGTGGTTGCACAGTGACTAAGTTCCCACATGGTGCAGCAGGGATGGAAACTTGGCAATCTGGCTCCAGAAGGCATGCTCTTCAGAACCATCTGCATTCTGGACTTTTTAAAACAGAACTTCTAAACTTGCAGGAATCAACAACTCAGAACCTATTATCTTTCTGTAAAATTTAACACTGCATACTTTATCACTGTATTGCAATCTCATCTGAATAAATTGCTGTACAAAAGAACAAACCTACCTATCACTTGGTCTTTATTTCTAAAAATGAATGCAAAAAAACCTGGACTACATGATATGTATATGATACACACATATTGAATTCACTGGTTTCTGTGCACCCCCTGCTCTGGTGAAAGTGTTCCATCCACTGCTAACATCATAATTGGTTGCTGCAGGGATGACTGTGATTTTCAGAACTAAGGAATATTATTCAAATAAAGAATACAAGAAGCAGAACCTTTAAAAACAAGGGTCTTGTTTTCTTTCTTTCTTTTTTTTTTTTTGTATTTTTAGTAGAGACGGGGTTTCACCATGTTGGCCAGGCTGGTCTTGAACTCCTGACTCAGGTGATCCGCCCGTCTCAGCCTCCCAAAATGCTGGGATTACAGGCTTGAGCCACTGCACCTAGAAAGAGTCTTGTTTTCATATAAATGTCCTTGTTAACAAAAAAGAAAGGCTGCCAAAATAAAAAATTGTTTCTAAGGTGGCATCTTAAAAGACAGCTGTATGTACCACAGCCTCTTTCTAAGAAAAGACCTAACCTCACAAATAAGTTTACCTGGTTAAAACAACTTGAACCAATCAGCTTATTTGTTCCTTCTCTGCCAGGATATTTTTAGATGACTATCTGATAAGCACTTCAAACTCCCTAAGAAGCTTATCCAAGGCCCTGCCATTCAACCCTGAATTGGCTTTTGAAAAATGCTTTCATGCTAAAGTTCTTAAAAATGGCTAAGTGGTGGTTACTGGCAATTCACCTTGCAAATGATGAAAATCCCATACGAAAGCATAAACGAGTGAAATATATTGTTGGGCAAAGTAAAAAACCCGCTAATCTAATTTGCAGCTTTGGGTGTATGTCATCACACAACTAGTATTACATCAGATATTTAATAGAACTTAAACATTTTTCAAAACAAGACATTTAAACAGAATTCTTTTAAAAATTTCTAGTAAAACCAACCTTAGAGAAACCAAATTTGCTACATTCCTAAATTTTATTTTTTATCCTTACAAACTTTTCCATTTCCATTGTGTTTTTAGCAACTGTACACTTTTACATTGTACAATTTACCAATTAGAGCCTCTCCAGTTGTTTCGAAGGGCTCACAGATTTAGAGAAACCGAATTATACAGTAGGGAAAGACGATCAAGGGTAAGCTTTCTCCTTCTCCTCTTTAGTGGAAGATAATACGCTAACTGTGATTAAAGTAAAATCTGGTAGTGGACAGAAAGATCAAGAAGGAAGACATGGCACCAAAAATGAGCGAGAAAAATGGGAGAATCCCTGCATAGTTATTGCAAATCAGTGTTGAAACATGCCAGAATACTAGCATGAGTTATTTCATTACAAAATACATAGACTAGATCTCTCGCTCTCTCAGTATTTTCAGCCATTTGTGGTATAATTGAAAGAGTGAAGAAACACAAGCACTACTGAAATAAAAATGCAAAATACTTAATATGGTTTTATTTTTGAAAGTGAAGTCCTTTTATAATTTTAAAGTAAACTGGAATAAAGTAGTGAAATCAAGATGTTTTCCTCAATTAGAAAATTAAGTATCTTAAATCTTAAGTTTGACAGGTAACAGAAAAATAAATACTTAACATAAATGGAATGATTCAAACCATTTCTTAAACTTTAATTTCAGACTATACTAGAAAAAAAAACTTTTTATAAAGCTATGTTCACAATTTTAGTACCGCAAAATAAAAACTGCTTATATGGAAGGAATTAAGCTCAGCCAATTTCTGTGGCTTTGGGGATGAGGTATTTGCTAAGTCTAAGCTAATATGTGTAAAGATCACTTCTGAGTGGATTTTCATGTTAGGTGAGATCACAGCCAAATCCTTCACAAAGAAATGTGGACAAAGCTTTAAGACCAAGTAAAGATGCTATTTTGAAAAGGACGGGGATCCACATT